AAAAAAAAAAAAAAAAAAAAAAAAAAAAAAAAAAAAAAAAAAAAAAAAAAAAAAAAAAAAAAAAAACAATTAGCCAACCAACGATTTAAAGAATCTGAAAACCTATGTAAGCCCAAAGAAATCAAATAATTTTTCACGCCACCAGACACACAATCGCCAGTATGAAAGATTATTTATCAGACCCAATCCCCCATTTATATCGAATCAATAACCAGACCCTTAACGTACGTATCGATAAATCCCAAAACCCAAAAACAAGTTACATTTCAATTTCTCCCCCATTCTAAATTTATCTGTAGTAGGACTATCATAACCAACAAGAACCCAGCTTTCTGTCTGCTGCGAGGAAAGCCACTCCGTCCAAAGCAATCGGAATGCCATACACCCTCGAAGAATTTAGCAAGCTGAGCTTCCGATCAGCCCAACCATGTAGAATACGAAACTGAAAATTCATTGTTTAACACGAACGGATTTTCATTCTACACGAATACAATGAGCAATGAAACAACACAGTGGGTCGAAATCCATATACTGACCTTCCCGTAGAGGAGAAATCTGATGGAGAGTGGACAAGTAGGAGGGTATAGGAACTCGGGTAATTGGGAGTTAGGGAATTGTCATCTCATCAATTCGATTGGCTTGAAAATCAAACAAAAACAAAACCCTAGAACTGGGTTTCTTTTTGCGCCCTTTTCCTTTTGTTCGTTTTTTACCGCCTGTTTCGACCCGAAGAAATCGGCTTCGTTCAAAAGCTGACGTAAATGAAGTTTAATAAATAAAATTAGTTAACTTATACATTTATATTTTTATTTAATAATTCTTCCAATTTAAAAAATCAAATTAAAATTAAAATTAATTTTGTTTCTAATAAATTAATTATTATTTTTTTAAATCCACGAGTTTAAAGCTTATTTATTAAAATTTAATTCTTTTTTACTACCCATTTGACATAAAATTTAAAATTTAATAATTTTAACAATCCCCTCCAACAACGTATTCGGGAAAATGATTATAATAAATGTTTTGTTCTTCTCTCCAACCGATGTGACTTCTCACGATCCACCCTCTTGAGGTCCAATCTTCACTAGCACAATGTCACGTGTCTGACTCTAATACCATTTGTACAAATGTAAGATCTCACAATCCACCTCCTACGGGGGCCCAACATCTTCGATATCACAACACATATGTCTAGCTCTAATATAAATTGTAACTCGCGAGCACAACGCCCCGCGTCTGGCTTTAATACCATTTAGACATTGTCATTTTTTAGCTTTCCCTTCCAAGTTTCTCCTCAATGTCTTAAAACATGTTTGTTATTGAGCAATTTTTACACTTTTATAATGAATGTTTCGGTATTCTCTCCAACCGATGTGAAATCTCACAACAATCTTTCTTGTATTTTTACAAATAGCAAGACGTCGTCATCCAACTTGGGTATAAGCCTTCCTACCACTGCCTTCGGTTTCACACACCACTCGAGATCGTTGTCATCACTTATATACCACAAATCATCTCGTTTTTTAGCCATCGTCGTACGTATTCCTCCATAATGTGCTATGTAATCATAACACAAGAATGGACCATGCCCTATGATTTTGGGGAAGTGCTACAAAAATTGGTAATGAATATCACATTTTTAATGCAACCTTCCAATGTCCGTGAAGCCTCTTAAATACTTGCTTCAAACGGTGAGACATCTCCAACGGCTCAACCCTAGCGGTGGCTCTCACATGGAAAAATACCATACGTACATTCATAATTTAAATAATTTCCAAACGATTCTTCCTCCTCCCATCTCTAGGAAGCCATGGAAGCTCTGTGGAATTTAGAAGACAAATGGAAGCTCTCAACGCAACAAGCCTTCATTCTCTTAACGTGCACGGCGGTCGCCGTCCTAGGGTTTTGCGCGGCGACGTGGGCGAAACAGAGGAAGTGCGAGAAGACAGAGCGCCGACAGACGAAGGCGACGGAGAGGTGGTGGTGGAAGGGGGCAGCGGATAGGCGGAAGGTGAGCGGCGGCGGAGAGACGCCGGTGCGGCTGTTGGGCGGCGAAGGGGAAGATTTCGGAAGCCGGAATTCGACGGCGGCGGTGTGGCAACGGCCGATTTTAATGGGGGAAAAGTGTGAGATGCTGAAATACAGTGGGCTTATTCTGTACGACGAAAGGGGAAGATTGCTGCAGGATCAAATTGCCGCCATGGAAAACGGTTACAAGGTGCTGCTTCGTAAGTTCTTTCGTAGTTTTTCTTAAAATATAAAAAATAAAAAAAAAAAAAAAATAATTTTTACCTTAACATTATTATAATTTAAGTATTTAAAAACATTTTCTTCTATCAATTCAATAAATTAATATACTTAATATACTTAATTTATATATATATATATGAAATTATAATTTTTTTTTTTAAATAATGAGTTCAAAGAATATTTAAACCATTTTTTAAAATTAAATTAGCGGTCGAGTTGACAATAGTTAAACTAATGATATTTAATTCAGTAAATTTGAAAATTCAAAGTCACCGTTGACAAATTTAATGTCAATTACTATCGAGCTGGATTGACTTCCATATGCATTGTGTAGGACGGGGACGGCGTAATAGTAAAGACAAGGTTGAAGGATCTACTCTAATGCCCTTCCTTTTTTTATGGGAATCTTCAAAAAGCGGTGTAAAGATTATACAAAGGGGTGAGCTTTTCGAATGTAATATCCCTTTCTTTCTTTTGGAATCCTTTTTTTTTACACATTGTCCACTCTTTGTTCGTGCTTCTCGACATTTTTACGTTGCATAAAAGAATTCAAATAGATAGTCTATTAGAAACATCACCTCGATGGGAGCTAAAAGAATACGGTTCTCGAACTTATAATAACAACTTGAAACACGAGTTCTAGAAACAAAAAGTTTATATTGCTCGTATGATAGACTCAATGACTGAGATAAGCAAACGGGAGTTTGGCTTTCCAATATTTGAGCATACAAATCTAACTCGTGAGCCAAACGTTTAAGAACGAGCAACTATGAGCTTTATATTTGGTCTGCGCAAGTGGATCGAGTAAGAAATAAGTACATGATCTTGCTTACCGAGGATGATTCTTCAAATACAAACAGCTTGTAATAGAACGAACAAAGTTTTTCAATCATAAGGCTATAAGATATTACAAGTTCGTCACGCTTGAGAATCTTTTGACTGATTGACTGCAAAAATGAATGAGAGGCTAATTTTACAACAAATCACATCGCAGCCAGGCAACGGTTCGTTGGCTAATGTTGAGTCGAACGATACATCAATGATCAACCCTCCGAAATCTGCTGTTCCTGCGGTAAATGAAGAAAGTTTGGTTGGTTTTCCTCTCATTTGCCACACTATGTACTAAAACTAGTAGAAATCCAAGAAAACTAGAGTAACAGCTTAAGCTCACCGCCAGCACATATAGGGGTTTTGACCCGTTACATATCGCTCTGAGAGGTTTCCACACCCTTATAAGGAATATTTCGTTCTACCCTCCAACCAATGTGGGATCTCACAATCCACCCTCCTTGAGGGCGCTAGCACACTGCTCGATGCCTAGCTCTAATATCATTTGTAACAACTCACGCTGATATAGTTTGTTTTGGCCCGCTACGAATTGCTGTCAACCTCACAGCTTTAAAACGCGTCTATTGAGGAGAAGTTTCCACACCCTTATAAGGAATGTTTCGTTCTCCTCTCCAACCAATGTGTGATCTCACAATCCACCCTCCTTGGAGGCCCAGCGTCCTCGGTGCCTAGCTCTGATACCATTTGTAACAGCCCACGCGGATATAGTCTGTTTTGGCCCGCTATGTATCACCGGCAACCTCACGATTTTAAAACGCGTCTATTGAGGAGAAGCTTCCACACCCTTATAATGAACGTTTCGTTCTCCTCTCCAACCAATGTGGGATCTCACAATCTACTTTTCTTGGGGGGCCCAACGCCCTTGCTAGAACACAACTCGGTGCTTAGCTCTGAATACCATTTGTAAAACTTCGAGCCGACCGTTAGCAGATATTGTCCGTTTTGGCCTGTTACATATTGCTGTCAGCCTCACAACTTTAAAACGCGTTTGTTGGGGAGAAGTTTTCACACCCTTATAAGGAATGCTTCGTTCTCCTCTCCAACCTACGTGGAATCTCACAAGGGGGGCTAGCGTTCTTGGTGGCACACAAATGCTTGGCGCTAATACCATTTGTAACAGCCCAAGCCCACTGCTAGCAAATATTGTCTGCTTTAACCCATTACATATCACCGTCAGCCTCACGATTTTAAAAAGCATCTACTAAAGAGAGGTTTCCACACCCTTGTAAGAAATGTTTCATTCTCCTCTCCAACCGACGTGGGATCTCACAACTAGATCCTTAACCTCTACAGTTAACAAGCATAGATGGAAAAGTACACAAAGTTCAAAAATCTTACCTCACAATCACCACGTAAATACGCAATGTACGTGTTTAAGCATACGATACAATCAACGGTTCTCGAGCCTCCTCTTTAGCAACACGACTATAGTAGAAATACAACACCAATTGTACAATCCCCAACAAAGCTCCTATCCCATTTGGAGCCTAAGATTCAACAACAAAAACCCACATTCACATCACAAACTCGATCAACTAAAACCGCAACAAACAAAGAAAATAAGCAAGGACAACACTTACATAAACGAACAAGTCGTAATTGAACAGTCCATAGAGAAAGAAGGATACACTCATAAGGAACGTCGAAAGCGAGAGATAAAACGGCATAAACTCCACACTCTTCGTTCGAATCACCAAATTCTAACACAAACAACAAAAGTAAGCAAACCTCAAAACAACCAACAATGGAAGGTAGAACAGAACACAAGACAAAGATCTAAACTTACAATAATAAACAATGGAGAAGCGAACATCGATACGAGCGATGCACAACTCAAGATCCCGACGACATTCCGACGTAACAGGAGATCAGGTATCTGTAAGCTCCCAGTAACAATAACAACAAAGAAGGCAAACACAGCAAGCAACAATCCAAGCATCTTGATCTGTTATAAGGGAAAATTTCATTAACTAAAAGATCTTTCACAATTGCTAGTTCATATCATGGATGAACAAGTGGCTACCTTCTTGCCCTTTTCAGCATATGTTATGAAGAGAATGATGTAGGCGAGCTGAAAGACAGCGCCGATTGAGTTGACTGTCATGACCATTGTGTTTCTTGGAGAAACGAGGGGCGTGCCATACCATAAGCAAATAAGGCAGTTTAACAAAGCATATATGTATGGCAAACCCGAGAATTGTTCTGTTGTTTTGTTTCTGATAACACGCCGAAATGTATCTCTGCATATTGAGCAACAAAATGGTGAATATAATGGCTTCAAACTCCATCAATTCAGCTAGAAATTGTAGTGGAACAGATGGGTGTGACTTACAAGGGTGAGAGGAAGAGCCCAAATGCAAATATGTGGCCTGCAGATGAATAAGCCAAAGCAATAACTCTTAGATTAAACTTCAAATATATGAGGGTCAACTCTTAGATCTCAAATTACTCCTTCCGATCAAGGCTAATTGAATCAATGGGTTTAACACTTAAATGTGATGTCCTCGTCAGTTGGGAGGAGAACGAAACACCCTTTAAAAGTTATCTTTAGCTTTATTGGGTGAGAATTTGCCTCAAATTTTACAAAAGTTTTACAAATCCACCATGTTGGGGGCTTATCTATGTTCAAAAGAGTATGGAGAAATGGAAGGAAAAGTCCATTTCCCCAAGGTTTTACCGAGAAAACGAGCTTCTACAGCCATTAATGGAGGAATTTAGACAAGAAACAGAGAGAGAAGGAGGCATACCAGCGACTCCGGCTGCATCCCTGCAGATTGAGAAGATGGAGCCGAGAAGAACCATCACCGGTGATTTCAAGCCCCGAGAAGACTCTTAGTCTCTTCCGCCGCCGCCGCCGCCGCCGTCAGAAGGAATATAAACGCACTAAAAACCACCGATTTACAGAGGATTTTGAAATCAAACTGCTGAGGAAGATGATTCTTCGACAGAGACCCAATTCAGAGAGGCGAATAAATGGGGAGGAAATGCTATTTTACGAGGATTTCATTAAGCAATCAAAGGGGAAATGCCCCTTTTTATAAACCCAACAAATTTCGTAATGAATCCATGAGAATTAAACAGAGATTAATGTTAAAAAACCAGAGTGGTTATTTGCTGGAAGAGGATTAAACATGGATATTCGGAAGAAAAAAATGGAAAGTTTGTCGGATTGGGACAAGACACTCTCCGTCTTACGTGGAAACTCAACAGCTATAGAAACAGTCGAACAAGTTGTCAAGTTGAATTAAACAACGTGCACATATAAGGGTCGGACCCTTCCTTTATTGTGCGCCGTTCATCTTACTATTTGGCCTATGAAAATTAGGCCACTCGTTTCAAATGAGAAGTAATGTGATTGAAGTTCGAGCACTACCAACACGACACGTGCGATGGTCTAATTTAAAATAATGGAATGTTTATGCTCGAGCTAAAAGTATGTCTGGAAATTGTCGTCGATCAATTTGTCTCTATATCGTAAGTTTAATTGTCATAATCGTATATCGCTATTGGGGTTTTTCAATAATATTTGAATTCTTTTACTCTTCGTAGTATCACATTTTCTTCATTTTTATGATGTATATTATTATATATGGTATCAATGGAATAAAAGTAGAAAAAAAAGGTGAACGACCAAAATGAAAAGAGAGAAATAAAAAATAAATAATGGGATGAGCGTCAATAAAAACGCTAAGCCCTGAAAGTGGATGGATTGTGAGATCCCACGTCTTGATTAGAGGAGGGAAACGAAACATTATTTATAAGAATGTGAAAACTTTTCATTAATAGACACGTTTTAGAAACCTTGAAAAAAAGTCCAAAAGAAAAAATTCAAACAAGACAATATCTGCCAGCAGTGCGCTTCGACTATTACATAATATTTTTTTATTTTATTTTAAAATAATGAACCTATAATTTATTATCACGTCAATACCTTAAAACTATATATATATAAATTTAATAATAATAAATTATCTAATTAACTCAAACAAATGTTAATCGTATCATTATGCATTGTTTGAGCATTAATAATAATTACTTTCCATAGATAATTTATTATATACAAATACAAAAAAATAAATTAATAAACTCAATTTCAAAGATAATTTTTTTAGAATAAAAATTCTAAAAAGTAATTATCTTGAAAACAAAATTATTCCACGTGCGGTGCACGTGTTTTTTTTGCCAGCAGTTAAAAAACAGACAAATAAGCAAAATCAATCTTTTTCTTAGATATTACATCTAAAATAAAGCGTGTGGACCATTTTTTATAATATAAAAAAGTACAAAATAATAATAATAATAATAATAATAATAATAATAATAAAAAATAATGAGAGGAAGAGAAGGAGTTGAATAAGAGCCACAATTTATTTTCAAGAAATTTGCACCACTTAATATATTTAACCATTAATTTAATATTCCCCGAATTTTTATATATAATTTGGATAAAATTCAAAGCGGAGTTTCCGTAATCAAATAAGCCTAAAATCCTAAACGTGAACGCAACATCTAATCCTTTTTTATTTGTTTTTTCTAATTATTCTAATCAATTATTAGTGATAAACAAAAACAACCTAGGGGTAATTCCGTCTTTTTCTTCTTTCTAAATCTTCTAAGCGTCCATTTCCGACATTTGAAGAAGTCTATACATCTGTCAGAATTGATGCATGCTTTTTTAGTTGATAAGGTTCACACGTGTAAAAAATGAAATGGTATTGGTGCACGAACGATTTAAAAATAGTTTAAAACTGTGAGATCCCACATCGATTAAAGAAGAGAACGAGTGCCTACAAAGACGCTGGTCCTAAAGGGGGGTGGACCGTGAGATGAGATCCCCCGTCGGTTGGAGAGAGGAACGAAACATTTTTATAAGGATATGAAAACCTCTTCCTATCATATGTGTTTTAAAAACGTTTAGGGGAAGCCTAGTTAACATATTATGGATCGAAAGAATACAACTTTTTGGCCATAGTCTTAACTTATAGACAAACATTCAGAAGAAACATGATCCATTATGCACAACAATGCTTTCATTAGGACAAGGCCATGGCCTCAAAAACAATCAAAAGCCATTGCACAAACTAACAGATCCATCAATCTAACATGATAAAACAAAGCAAAAACAATGGAGTGAGTGAGATATTTACATGATACCAGCCACCTATTTGTACATTTAATCGGTCCCGAGCAGAAACGGTCTGTAAGGAGCGGAAGACAACGGCCTCGGATCTGATACGAAGAGAAAAATCATTGAACAGTTGCAAGCAAAAGTAGTAAAAACATGTTCACATACAAACCATACCTTCTAGTTCTATACGCAGCCAATCTTGTGCGCATATTAAAGCTTGACGAGTATCCGGGCTTAAGGAGCTTCGACAGCGGTCGAGAACTCGACCTCCTGTACTGAATGCCATCTTGGGTCCAATGCTTGACATTGGAGTTCCGATTACATCACGAGCCATCCTGGACAAGATCGGGTACCTCGGCGTGTGGACATTCCACCAGTTTAGTATGTTGAAATCGCAGTTTCGTGGGAACACTGGTTCCTCTAAATATTTGTCCAAGTCAGACATCACATTTTGACCTTGGGAAGTCTCATGAAGGAACTTGTCAAAGCCTTTTAGTCTGTCCCTTGAGTCGTTGCTCGTCCCAGGTAAACCGCTTCCAGGCAAGGCTGAACCTTGATCAACCGATGTAAAGCGGATTGAATATGCATCATAAAGTTCCTTGATACCACTCGAAACTTCCTTGACTCGATCCATGGCCGTGCTACCGTAAATCTGCGAATAGTAGTACTCGACCAGTTTCATTTTGAATCTTGGATCAAGAACTGCAGCTACTGCCAAAGCTAGACTACATTTGCTCCAATATTTATCAAACTTAGCCTTGATTCTTGATGAAAGGGAGCTGAGAAAATTATCCGAGCTCTTACACCAGGCGATTAATTGAATGTGAACGTCGCAGATCTCGGGAAAGTATATATTTGCAGTCAGAGTTTTGTTGCTCGAGAAGATGTTCATGATTTCGACGAAAAGTTTCAAATAGCCAGCGACACTAGTTGTCCATTCCCACTCCAAAACAGTAAGAGGCGACGCATAATCAGGATCATGCTCGTGTAGAAGATTAAACGCAGCCTTGTATTCGATGGCGGTCTCGAGCATGAAATATGTCGAGTTCCATTGACCAGGACTGTCAGGGACCAATATCTTCTGGCTGGTGATCCCAACTTGATGAGCCATCTCATTGAACCTCCCTTGAATGACTTGTGAACTTCTGATATATTTAAAACTCGCTCGGATCTTTTGGGTAATCTCTCGCAGCGCTTCTATCACGTCTTCAGCGATTGCGTTCATTGTATGTGCAGCAGAGCATAGATCGAAGAGTCTACCGTTACTCAAAAGAGGCCTTTTCTTCGATATGTGTTCGTTAATTCTTCTGATTATCTCGTCATTGGTCGAAAAATCATCAAATGTCAGAGCAAATAGCTTACAGTCAATGTCCCAGTCCATCAGGCATTTAATAATCACGTCCGAGAGCATGTCGTCGGTATGAGAAGAATCAAGCGTGATAAAATTCAAAAGCTTCTTCTGTAATTTCCAATCCTCGTCGATATAATGTGCCGTCAAGCATAAATAGTCCATATTTTCTGGTGAAGACCACATTTCAACTGAAACATTAATTCTACCCTGCAATCTGTTAATGGTTTCAAAGATCTTCTCTTTTTCCTTCTCATAGATTTTCATACAAGCGAGCTCAATAGTGCTATTAGGTAACACCTCGAACAACGGTTGAACGTTTTTGACGAAAACTTTAAACCCAACATGCTCAACAATAGACAAAGGATAACCATGCAATATGATCATACGAGCGAGATCATTCCGACTCCGCTCCTGATCAAACTTACTACTTGCAATGGTGACTACTTCATCCCTTCTCTGATCAGGATCATATTTCACAACGGCTGATTTAAACTCATCTTTTCTCTGTCCTTCATCAAAGCTGATATTTGCAAGACCACCTGAACTATCCTTTTTCATTCTCTTGGCTGCAAGCAGTTGCGAAACGTCGTAATTCGATCTTTTCAGACATCGCATCAAGTGATTTCTTAGATGCGTGGTTCCGCTATTACTCGAGCCACTGAGCTTCTTGTTGCAATGCAAACACACAGCATAGCAAATGTCAGCCTTTCTGACCCTCTCAAAGTGATTCCAAACGACCGATGTCAACCTCTTCGGTTTCTTGATCGACGAGTCGTTAGATATCTCCATTGCATGAGGATAAAATAAACCAAATTCTGTACAAGATATCAACTGCTAAGTCAAAGCAAAAACGATAGCAAAGTGAAGGGAAATACGAAACAGTTCTAAGACTTTCTATATTTAGATGGCACAAAAGGGACTAACTTCTCAATCGTTCCATTTACAAAACAATGTAAAGATTACAATTCCTCAGATGATAGTTCATAGAAGGATAGAACACAGATAACAGTGATATACAAAACAAAATTGTAAATAAAGGATTCAAAGAATGGAAGGCAATTCAGCTATGGACTACATGAATAAATGGAATAGAACTTCAAACGACATTTTGAATGCAAGGATGAAACAGTACTTCAGATCTTACAACTCTCCCATTGTTTGGGCCAAACCCTTCAACTCTTCACAACTGTTACGTACTAAAACAATGCCCGAAACAATTGATGGTCAGTTCAGATTAGCTAGAACCCAAGGGAAAATGATCATAAAGTTGCTGATATAGATGTGCAGGGTCAAATAGTATCTACTGTAAGAGAAATCACGACTAAAAATCCCATGTTGTCCGAGCATTTTCAAGGGGTAAATGAATCAGAATTATGAAGGAAAATCCATGAAAGAAGAACAAGATATCAGAACAAATTCATCTTGAATTCTATCCAAAAACAGAAATTAAAGGAACATAAACGCCATAGATTATATGAAAAGACAGAAACCAACAAAGAAACCGCATAAAACAGCTGAGTAGGACCAAATTGAATCATAATTCGAAGTGGGTCTTACGGGAAATCGTTGAATTGAAGTTTCTTCTTTCGAAAATGGTG